GAGAGAGAGAGAGAGAGAGAGAGAGAGAGAGAATGCCAATCACTCGAGGACCTGTAATCAGTAGCATTCAATATTGTGAAAAGACTTACTTCCATATCTTTGTGGATCCGATTGACTCTCAGCCCTTCCCTTGAACTTGCAAGCAGCAGATATTGTTCAGTTTGAGCAGATATTTAAAGGACTAAACCTTGGCTTCGTTTCAACTCCTGATAAATAATAATAAATGATAACTAGCATTTAAATTTGCATAGCGCATATCTTCGCTCGAAAGCAAGCTTTTTTCCGCTTTGCCTTAAAGTATTACCCCGGCAGATACTCTCGCTGTCCCGATAAAGCACTCAAACACTGGCAAGATCTGCAGTCGCTGACTATACCCGGGTACCCATTTCCTTCTCGGTGAAGTGAAGAAGGTTCATCTAGAGTGCCTTTCCCAAGGACATAACGGCGGAGCCCTGGCGAGATTTCAACCCACGACCTTACGGTTGCGAATCCGAGAGCCTAACCACTAGGCCACCAACGCCACAATTTCGATTATTGCTTCTGTCTTTTATGGATTTTTTTCTGAATGCACCCCTGAAATTGTTATTTTTTATGTATTACCCTTTCTTACTTAGAGATCAAATCGTTTTCAAAATCCTTCAACCGTTTCAAAATTTTTCACTAAAGAATTCATTCTTTTGACTTGATTTCCCATAAACACCCCGCAGAACAATGAAATTCGATGAACTGACTGAGTGGTTCTTTATATCGTGACCTAAACTGTATTTAAGTAAGATCAAATTATAAGAATACACAAAGACGCCAAAAGTAAACAAGCAAGGTAAAAAACAACACGATTGATGTCTATTCTTGAATAAACACAGTCGTAAGGCAATTATATATATATATATTTTTAAAAAATCTTTATAGCAAAGCGTTAACTCACTAAGATAATTACTGCACTCGCGCAATTTTCCGACATTTCCAGGGGGTGTAATTATTGCTACTGATTGATTCTACAAGAAGAATCTATTTTTGTAACGAAACTATTGGAAATTTGTGAAACGATTAGGTTGAGGTTGTTAGCCGAACCCTTTTTTCTTTCTGATGATACCGGAAAGCGCGATCTAGTGTGAAAATGTACAATATTTTTTAATGCGGCATCACAGCTAGGGTAAGGTTATTTTCTCGCTCGATTTAAGTGATTTCAGTAAACAAACGAACCTTTGTACGTAAAATTCTTAAATGTCACAGTCGTATGATGAGTAAAAACCTGGACATTTTTTATGCTTTTCAGGCAAATTATGACTCTGAGAGTATGATCTAGTCTCAGACATTTATAGTTCATTAACAAATGAAGAATATGTGTCACCCATGAGGGATCCATTCATCCATAAAAGATCGTTCTCCGGTCTCAATTATAAGCTCAAGATCAGAGAAAGAGCATTGGGTTATATTACTACATACTCACTAAATACTTTTGCTGGGTTCCTGGGAATATTAATTATTTAACACGCGGAGACCTCTGCACTCAATCACTCACGAATCATAACAAAGACCGTACCTAACAAGACAGTTCACTCCTCTCTGTGAGCCAATTAGAAAATAAGTGTCCTCATAATCCGGAGGCGTCCTCTTCGAAAAAGCGCGGACTTTGCGAACAGAGTTACCCTACTTGTGTGAAAAACAATAAAAGCGAAACTAACAAGCTGTGCTATTCCAATTCTTCTTCCGAAGAAAACGAAAGAGAACTTCAAAGACTGCATGGCCATCTGAAGCAGTGCGCGGACTTCCGCGGACACTTTTTTGGCCGAGTTAACTATCTTGTTAAGAACGATCTTTGACCATAAGCTGATCCCGAGTACAAAACAATAAAGTTTTCTTTGTTGTATGGGTAGTTAAAATAGTAGCAACAGAAATGTGGTTTCTTATGAGGCTGTTGAGAATTTATTTCTTGAAAGGAAAAGAAAAAAGATTTAATAAAGTAGCCCTGGAAGAAGCCCACGAGAGCCGATCGCTGACAAAATTAAAAGCAATTAAAGAGCGATAAATGAACTTTTTGGGATACTTGAATAAACGTAAGGGTCTTGAACATCTAGCTCTCACTTGTAAAATATTGAAGGCAAGCGCGGCATAGGTTCACCCAGAACATATGGGTGATAGAGAAAGATCAGGGTTACTTTTAAGAGCATCCGAGCAAAGAAATGAAGGGTGAACAATGATTGCGAATATCTGTCGCAGACCTGGAACTTGATGGGGATGATGATGATGATGATGATGATGATGATGATGATTCATATGTGTGATTCACACGATAATGATCTCACTATCCGTGAGGCTGACAAAGGTGGTTCCCTTGTGGTCATGAACACCAGTGACTACAAACACGC